GGGAATGACAAATGAAATAAATCTGAAGCAAAACTGGTAAGCTTGGGTGTACTGTTTCTGTAGATGCAGCAAAATAATGCGAGTGGAGTGGGGACAGAATACTCCAGGGAGACACTTGGTGGGTTGGATATGGCAATCACTAACCTGTAAAATAACAGCAAGGCCTGCAAAGCCTAGGGAGGAATACTTGTGTGGCCTATAGCTGGTCGTGTTGGGGAGCTTGACCTATGGTAGGCATAGACAAAGCTGCCTCGTGCAACAGGCTGGTGGTAGAGAGGAACCTTACAACCCTGTGGCTGTCTCTAGACTGGCAAGTTTTTCCGCAAAACCTTGGCTCCACCTGAATTTCAAAGTGGCAGTGCTGCTTGACACCATCAGCTAGGGACTCCCCAGTTGACCCCAGGCTCCATGCGGCATTGCTGCTTTTAAATACCTCCACTTCTCCCCCCCGCCTTGCTGTCTCTATCTGATAAAGGCAGGGGAGGGCGACTAGTTGACTATCTGATAAGCATTTGCTTATCGGATAGTCGACTAGTCCTTTACATCCCTATTGTAAGCATCCTCCTTCTTCAGTCCCTCAAGACCTAACATTTGCACTTCTTTGAGACTTGTTCCTCTTGAGACATCATTAGTTTGGTGACTTCTGTGGTGTTTGTCAGAAGTGAGTTTACTTTTTGTCTTGTCTTGTCTTTTTTTTTTTTTTAACCTTATTCCTTAATCCTGTGTCATGTTAGTTCTGTGTGGCAACCAAATAGCACTAGTTATTTCTTTAAAAAAAAAAAGTGTATGGCAGATGTTAATGTAAACTTATTTGAATTAGCGCAGTTTTATTTTTATTTAGTTTCTCTTTAGGAAAATAGAAGTGTGAAACACATTGTTTTCATGGAAAATTAGCATGGGAAGAGACTTCAGAAAGTCATCTAGTCCAATGCCCTGCTCAAAGCAGAGCTAACCCCAATTAAATCAGCCCAGCCAGGTTTGTTAAGCTTGCCCTTAAAAACTTCTAAGGATGGAAATTCTATAACCTCCATAGGTAACCCATTCCAGTGCTTCACCACCCTCATCATGAAATAGTTTTCCCTAATAACCAACCTAGCCTTCTTGCACAGCAACTTGAGACCATTGCTTCTTGTTCCATCATCTGCTACCATTGAGAACAGCTTAGCTTCATCTCTTTAGAATCTCCCTTCAAGTACTTGATGGTTGCTACCAAAGCCCCCTTCTTTCTTCTTTTCTGCAGCCTAAATAAGCCCAGTTATCTCAGCCTCTCCTCATAAGTCATGTGTTCCAGCCCCCAAATCATTTTTGTTGCCCTCCACTGGACTCTGTCCAATTTGTCCACATCCTTTCTTTAGTAAGGGGCCTCAAACTGGGTGCAATAGTATATATGAGGCCTCGCCAATGGTGAAAGAGGGTGGTAATAATTTCCCTCAATCTGCTGCCAGTGCTCCCAATAATGGAGTGCAATATGCTGTTAGCCTTCTTGGCAGGAAGGTCACGCTGTTGACTCATATCCAGCTTCTCATTCACTGTAATACTCAGGTTCTTTTCTGCACAACTGCTACTTAGCCAGTTGTTCCCCAACCTGTGGTAGAGCAGGGGATTCTTTCTCGGAAGTGCAGGACTCAGCACTTGCCATGGAACCTCATCAGATTTCTTCTGGCTCAATCCTCCAATTGTCTGGGTAACTCTGGACCCTATTCTTACTCTCCAGTGTGTCTGTGTCACCCATGACTTTACTGAAGGTGCAGTGCATCCTATCATCCAGCTCAGTAATGAAGATGTTGAACAAAACCAACTACAGACCGACCGCTGGGCCACTCTGCTTCATACCAACTGCCAACTAAACATCTAACTCTTGATCGCTACCCACTGAACCCGACAATCTATCCAGCTTTCTATCCACTTTATGGCCCATTCGTCTAATCCATAATTCTTTAATTTGTTGGCAAGAATACTATGGGAAACTATATCAAATGCTTTGCAAACGTCAAGGTATATCATGTCCTCTGCTTTCCCCATATCCATCCAGCTAGTTATCTCCTCACAGAAGGCAATCAAGTTGGTCAAGCAGTTCTTTCCCTTGATGAATCTATGCTACTGTTCCTGATGATCTTCTTCTCCAGTTGTTTGAAAATGGATTCCTCTAGGACCTGCTCTGTGATTTTTTTCCATTGACTGACTGAGTTTTCAAAGTTTTCAGAGCCAATGGCTCTGCAGCCATTTCCATCAGCCAACACTCTCAGCATCCTCTGATGTATCAGATCCGTTCCCAAGGACATGTGCATGTCCATCTCTTCTAAGTAGTCCTTAAATTATTCTTCTACAACTGAGAGCTGTTCATCTCCTCCCCATACTTTGTTGCCCACTGTAGCATTCTGGGAACTGACCTTGTCGATGAAGAACGAGGCAAAAAAAACATTGGTTTGTTTAATTACAGAATTTTAGCATGCCTTGTTCTAAATTGGCTAATATGCAGGAGACTTTGGCCTGAGTAAAAACTGCAGGAAATAGTCCTTCGATAATAATCTGCAAATTCGAGTTAAAGGCCTACTTCATCTAGCCCCAGGATGCAATGCGAACAAGCCCAAATGTTCATCCTTTTTTAAATATTACTATTGTATATTTAGAACTCAATGCTTATTTCATTTTTCTGCAGTTAATTGTTTCACCCATCCATTGGTTCTACCCTAAAGAATGAAATAATAGTATGGCATAAGTCTGAATTTGTGAGCCAAACATGTTTGTTTTCTTTGCATGCCTTTAGTATGCTTTTCATGAATAAGTAGATCCAAAGGTAGCTTCATATATTTTATA